GGGCATTGGCTCCCTGGAACTGGAGTTATAGACAGTTGTTAGCTGCCATGTGGGTGCTAGGAACTGAACCCAGGTGCTTTACAAAAGCAGCCAGTACTATTCTGCTGAACATCTCTCCAGCCCCTTGGAAGACTGAATTTTATCTGAATGTGGCAATGCAAGCTTCTTAAAAGTTGTCATTTAAACTAAACCTACAGTGTAGTGGAAGCCTGCTTGTAGCCATGTAGAAAAGAAGGGTGTATAACACCACAATCACTTTTCACCAAGTACAAGATAAGAAAAATCTTGGCAAGGTAACTTTTATGTCATAATCATCTTGACTGAGTTAATATCTACTGTCATTTTTCTTGCTGGGTCTGAAGAGAAAGTTGGTCTTGAAACAAAAACTAGACTTAACCAACTAGATAATAATGCCACTTCAAATCACTGAGCATGATGGGATATTCAACTTTATTGGTCAAGTAATGTATCTTGTTCTGAATAAAGAAAGTTCTTTTTAAGCATTAAGGAATTAAGCAACATTCCTCTCCAGCTACAGAAATACAATTTTATGTAATAGAAGCTACAGCATCTAGTAAAAATATCTAATGGGGAAAACGCTCTTGAATACTCAATAAATATTATACATATAATGTTAGGCATTTAGAAAAGTGTTTGGCAAAAAAACTGTCTCTGGAAGAAAAAAGAGAACATGAAGGTGGATGGGAAGAGAGGTGAGTCCAGAAAGAGTTGGGAGAGGGGTGAATATTATTCAAATATGTGTTTTAAGACACCTAAAATTAATAACAAATAATTGAAATAAATAAAAGAGAAGGTATAGTTAAGTGAGCTTGTTACAAAAGTAATGCATGTTAATCAGTGAGATTTGGGCATTCTACAATATTTACTTCAAATTTATGCAAGTTTATCAATCTAAAAATAATAAATGAAATTGTTAGAAAAAACTGTCTCAGGCTAGATTTCCAGAATTTCTTTACAGTTGGATTGTATTTATTTTTCAGCTTCAAATTCTAATTTCAATTTCCAGTGCATGCTTATGCTAGGACTTAGAGCCCTCAATTACTGCAAAAGCTAATATTGTAGCATCTTCATACATCATGATGATCGCATTTGGGGCTGTATAAAGTTTCAGTGGGCAAATAAAGTTGTCAGTGTTTCCAGTGTAGTTTTGCTTTCTATGCATATATGTTTATTAAATCTCTTTAATTCTGAAAACTAGATGTTGAATTACAGTGCCCACTTAAATAATACTGGCTTTATTCTTCTCTTAATGCACCTTGATTGATGTAAACACTGGGAAAGAGCATCTCTTTTCTTAACTGCCATAAAAGTAGCTTTCTGTATCGCCTAAGGTTCAAAATATGCTTTTGAAATAGAAATATGGACTTGTCCCCATTACAAACTATTGTCGTTATGAAAAAATGTAATCATTACAATACATTATTATATTTAAGTCTAAAAGTTCTGAATTGTAAGCTCTGGCATTGAGTGGCATATTTTAAATGAAGAGTAATATCCTAGAACTCTTTAGAAAGCTTAATGCTTAAAAACAATTTTATCTAATGATGAACAATGAGAAAAAGTATTATAAAATACATTTTGAGTATGCAGGAAGAATATGAACATAATACAGAATTAAATTTAGAGCAATTAAGAGTAGATTTCTATTTTCTTAAATGCTTTAATACTGTCATCATTTCAGGATGTAGTTCTAATGAAAAGAAGCTATATGCACTGACTTTTCTGACAGGTATCATTAAATAAGTACGCATTATTCAGCAACCTATGTGGTTACACAAAAGTCGAGGAGCATCTAAGACTAAACACAAATAGTGGTTTTGGTGATATTTCTGTCCTGAAATATACTTCAGTGGTGAGTGTTATAACGTGCTAAATTCTGAGGTTTGAGTACAACAGAAACCATACTGTATTGAGACATTCCACCTACAGTTTGTGGTCATGAAGTCTGATTAAAAGTGGTTTCGTATATATGAAACTAGTTTACAACAGTGCCTTCTATATGGAATACATTTTGTAGTCTATTTCACTGAATAAAAGACAAGCATGCAGGTATGGTTTCATAGCTAAATAGCATCTCAAAGAAATATTAAAGTACATTTTGTATTGATCTTTGTAATTAACTTATTGTGATTACTGATTCATTCCAACAAGAAAGAGCCTCTAGCCCATCTTTAGTGTCAGTCATAACTCATCTACATGAACCTTATTAAAAGTTCCTAAAGTCATATATTAATCAGGTATGAAAATAAAATGCTGGATACATTTTATCAGAAGCACTTTAGAAAAACAGTTAACATAAGCAGGTGCGGCGATGAGAGTTATAACAGAGAAAATTAATCTAAGATAAAAAGTAAGTAACGGCTGAGTAGAGATTGACTAGCTTATGTGGGCTGGAATATAGCTGCTTTATATTCCAAAGGATGATCAGCGAGGACAGTTCAGCTTTGCTTTTCATCAGGAAGAGCAAGATGCTCAAGTAGCCTTAATTGGGAAAGTCTTCAGATCACCAAGACATGTATTTGTTTAGTTCTCCTTTTCCTGGATAAGAATTAAGCTGTATAGAAATTTATTCCAAGCACTGTGCTTAATAATGTGCACACTTTATTTTATACAATCCCCACAGCAAACCTAAGAATAAATGAGTGGATAGTATATCTGTTTTATGTATGGTTTTCTGGAAAAAACTTTATGGGAAAAGCTATCCAAATTTTCTGTGTAACGTACATCAACTTGATATTTCTAAAGACTTGACACAATAGCATTGCCTACTAAGTGCTTTGCCATAGATCTTTGATCATTGCCTGTCCCATATGTGTCTACTGTTCTGGGCACTGGAGATGTAAGGATGAGCAAAATTAAAACAGCATATACTCTAGTTGAGTATGCGCTGTTAATAAAGGATATGCATTAAATAGATATCATTACCCCCCCAAAAAAACAATTATAAAATATAAGTGCCATTGAGAGAAATAAAGAATGATGAGTAGTAAGTATTGGGGTTGAAAAGATGGCTCAGTCAGTAACTTGAAGGCTGACACCATTAAGGCCTCTGTTCAGATTCCCAGGACCCAAATAAAAGCTGTCTGCTCAACAGAAGTCTGTAATCCCACTGCTTTCTGGAATGGGGAGACAGGTGGATCTCTGGAGTTCACTGGCCAGTCACTTCAACTGAATCATTGAGCTCCAGGTTCAGTGAGAGACCCTGATTCAAAAATAAGATGGAGAGTGGTTGATGAAGACACCTGACCTTGACCTCTGACCTAGACAGGTGTGCACACACACATGCATGTATACCTGCATATACCTGTGCACACACCAGCATAGACATGGACATAAAACACACACATGCACACTACAGTCCATGGCTCCCATCAACATATTTGCTTAGGTGGTAGAGGTGATCCAAAACTCATTCAGGTCCTGTTTGGGTGACTCCACCTCTGATGAGATTTGGAATGTAGAAGGGGAGAGATCCTAGAGTAAGTGCTAAGGCTGAGTTTGGAACTTTTAATAGTCTGGGATTACTTTTATGAATATCACATTGTGTGTCTGGAGACAAAATAATGGGAACCTAGATTTAGGAGTTACAAATAGATGGTAGTAAAAACTGAACTGACTTCTGCAAGACTCATTACATTTAAAGATGAGGGGGAAAAAATAACTAGTCCTTACTGAAAATAAGAGCTAAATTGAACAAGCCAGTTTTTCTCAAACTATGAACCTCAAAAACTCTTTTTGAAAAAAAAAAAATCCCAAGACGTTTCAAAATAAATAAGCAAAGGAACAAATGGCAATGTCAGCCGCAGAATTAGGAAGCAGATTGTTTAAAAGGTTTCTCAGCCTTTGATACCACAACGTGCCTCATTCCCAAACCTATGGGACCATTGACATTTTGGAGGGTATAGCCTATATATAAACCTGCTAGGAAATACTGGATCATATACAGGTTTATAGTTAATAATGTTCATGCCTTTTTGGCAAGCAGGCAAGAATGACAATCTGAAGTTTAAACACGGCTGAAATTGGAAGAGTGGAATATATGCATTTGCATTTGGTAGGATTGGCGGGTAAAAAGCATGCAAAGCTGGATAACTGGAGTGATGGAGACAGCTCATGAGGAGAAAGACAGTGTGGAGTGAGACTTTGCAGAACAAGATGAATTGAGGAGACAATTCTGGGCAGGGAGATCATCCAGGACAGGAAGCTGCTAGGGTGTCCAATGGTGAAGTGATAAAGACATGAAGGATTGGGCTGCCTGGGAAACAGACAAGAGAGACAAGTATGAACCTGAGAAGTATTTGGAGAGAAGGAATTATGAGACTTGGTAATAGATTGCATTAAAAGAAAAAAAGCCCAAGTTAACAAGGCAGTTTCTGACCTGCAAAAGGAAAATAGATATACAGAAGAATGAAGCCAAAATCCAACAATATTATGGCTAAACTACTTCCCAGTGCTTTCCTAAATTTCTAGAAACAGAATACAAGCTCGCCTGAGAATTGCATTCATAAGTCTCCAAGTGTTTTCAATTAAGTGGCACAAGACTAAACAGTTTTACAGGTTTTTTTTTTTTCCCTACAGATCTAAAATGTCATGTTCATAATGCCATATCCAATCTTCAAGTGATTAAAAAAAATCAACCTCCAGATATGTAATTGGAAAAATGTTAACTGCGCTGAATTGTTTTTTTGAATTTTAGGATGTTCAAAGAAACATGAGCATTTCTTCAATCACCTTCATTAAAATCCCTGCATTAAATCTTGCATTTACAGTTTCACATTCTACAAATAGCTCAAAATCACACATTTTCAATTCCAGGCAGAAATTAGCTTTAGATTATTTGCTTTCTCTTCAAATGCTGGAGTGCCCAAGGCTCTGACAGCTATACACCATTGTTTGTCAAAAGGGAAAAAAAAGGTACTGTAAAAACATGCAATATGCACAGGTTTCTGTCTTTTAAAAAACTCACTTTCTTTTTCCAGGTGACATTTACAAAGAGGAAATTTGGGTTGATGAAGAAGGCTTACGAGCTGAGCGTGCTGTGTGACTGTGAGATTGCACTGATCATCTTCAACAGCACCAACAAGCTATTCCAGTACGCCAGCACCGACATGGATAAGGTGTTGCTCAAGTACACGGAGTACAACGAGCCGCACGAGAGCAGGACAAACTCAGACATCGTGGAGGTGAGCAAGCTGCCTGAGCCCAGGCGTCTGCAGAGCTGCAGTGCGGGCACGTTTGGTATACACACACACACACACACACACACACACACACACACACACACTTTTCCTATGTTCCTCAGCCTAAACACATACCCGGGGTGTTCACTCCAACTATTACTGCACCACCCCCTGACTCTCTCAAATGAACATTAAAGTGATAAAATCGTGAGTCCACATAAGATCTAGAAATCAAGATTCAGGAACAAATCCGTGGCCACATCTTCATGAGTGAGCACAGTCTTCACTGGGTATCAGAGCGCCAGTCTTGGGAACTAGAGCCAGGAGGCATGTATCCCAACTTCAAACTGTTATAGGTTTAAATTTTACATGTATAGTAGTTTTCCTACAGAATAGCATTTTCAAGTGGATTTATGCCGACCTTCCAATTTTTCACATCATGTCTCCTCTTTTTAACTCGTTCTGTTTACTATGCTTGCCAGAAAAAAGTAAACACAGTTATTCTCATTTTTGCTTAAAATTGTGTCATTTATATAGCATTGAAAACTTAATATACATGGAATCAGAAATCAACTGAAAATCTATTTCTAAATATTAGCTCAGTATTGTATCCAAGTCAGACTTAAAACCTTGTTTGGATAGAACAGAAATAAATGAGTGCTATGGAAAACCTCTAAAACGTTTGGGTAAGTGAAGTGTCATACAATTTCAGTTGAAATCTTTTGGGGGTGTTGAAACTTTTAAAATACTTTCAACATGCATCCTACTTTAATGCTGTTGCCTCATGATCAATTACTACTCAACTAAAAAGGAAGGAGAAGGAGAAATATTCCTCTGCCTTTTCCCTCATCAGTTGCCTACTCTTGGTTTCCTAGCTTGTGCCTACTTTCCCAGAATGGAAAGAAAAGCAAACCCTTCGGATGCCTTTACTCCAGTAGGTTTGCCAGAGTACGAGTCATTGTCGCTGCTCATAGACTACTCTCATCAGAAAGTCCAGTCCTAATTCTGATCACATGAATATTATACCCACTGTTATAATGATTTCAGACTAATTCTGATTTCTTTGTTTTATTTGGAGGTTTTTCAAAAGCACTGAGTTGATTTAAAAATTTCATTTTGTTTCCTTGCTAACAAGCAGAGCAAATGATTTCAGTGAGAAAGTAACCTTACTGTAATACGTGGTGAAGGTACTACAGGTCATTTTAGCTCTTTGTTGATTGATGATTTATGTGCTTGCCTGGATCTCCTAATTTAAGAGTGGTCATAAAATTTGCTTGCTTTTTTAAAGGCTCTTCTTGTCACATACACATAGAAATTTGAAAATGCAGAAACAAACATTAAAAATGAATGGAACTAAGTGCTTGTCAAGCCCTAAGGGCTTTTGTGTATGTGAACATTATACTCAAAACCCCATCTCACACTACAGCAAATATTTCAAATGTTTCAGTGTAACAAACTTAGACTTTGACATTGACTTTGCATTCCAGTCCCTAACATGATGTCAAATGAAGTGGAACAATATTGAACCAATTAAAAAATGGGTGAACTGGGCTGGAGAGATGGCTCAGCTGTTAAGGACACTGGCTGTTCTTGCAGAAGACCTGGGTTCAAATCCCAGCACCCACATGGCAGTTAACAACTGTCTGTAACTCCAGTTCCAGGGGATCCAACAGTCTCTTCTATCCTCCGTGGGCATTGCATGACACAGGTGCACTTACCTACATGCAGGCAATGCATACATAAATATAAAAATAATAAATAAAATTTTTAAAAAATGGGTGAACTTTAAAATTTTCCTTTCTTTGAGTTTAAACTCTAGAAAAACTGAGGTTTTTCTGAGGATTATTCTAGATAACTTAAAGATGACTTAGAATTTGATGTTTTCTGTGATATTTTCATATTTTTATATTCTTGTACAGAAGAATGTCAGAGTTAGATTTCTTTAAAGGCCTGTGACATGAACACTAGGTAGAGTCAACGGTCTGTGGTAACATGCAATGTGGCAGGGGCAAGTAGTTCCTCTCTGGGCTGAAGTTTCCTCAGCTCAAAACTTGAATGGGTTTGGGAACTGCAACTCAGTGGTAGAGCCTCTGTTAGCATGTGGGAGTCTCTGAATCTCAAATCCAGCAGTACAAAAATATTTTGAAAAGCTTTTGTAATTGTGTAATTTTAGAAGGATTGTTTCAAAAAATAATAAAGCTCTAATTCCATTTTCTTGCACTTGATATTAATGAATTAAAGCTTTGAACATCTTTAAGCAACATTCGGATATTCTTTGGCTATAGCTAGAGTCTATGGCCTAATTTTTGGATGAATATAACATGTAAATTTAACACTTTATGCCCTACTCAACGCCTGAGTAACACATTCCTCACAATTTGACTTCTCTACATTTTACAAATAACAGAAATGATGGAGAAAAAAATGAACGGCAGAGTCTCCAATTGATAGAGTTTTATGTCGGCTTCAACATGTAGTGTTTTTAAAACTGAGCATTGAAATCGGAATATTGAAGTACTTGGTAGGCTAGAGATTCGCATGGAAAATGTATGTATAACACGTCCCCACAAGTAATTAGACACACTAAGTTTCAAACCTGTGCACTGGGACTTAAATGGTTGTAGAGACTAAGAATATGTGATATATCAGGGTTTGGAGGAATTCATTCTTGGAATGGACCTAACATAAAGTTGAAAGGCAAATAGTTTACTATTCCTGGGTAAAATTTTAAATCATATTTATTTTAATTTAATGGAATACATTTAACTGAGTAACTTTAATGAGGAGCATAATATGTTTCATGAAGGGTCATTAGTTTTATATTTCCCATTTGGACCATTACCTCTCTCTCTTAACCCTCTAAAAAACAGTTGATGCACAAGAAAAAAAGGTTGAAGAAAGAGAAATAATATAATTTTGTTCATGGAGACTGAAATGCAAATTTCAGGCCATACCAGAGTAATGTTGTAGGGTCACAGGAAATTGTGCAATGCGTGGGTGTTGAAAAAAGATTTCTCCTTTTAACAAAAAAGCTCTCTGTAATTATCACGTCTTTGCTTGATAATCAGCACTACTGTTGCAATGACACAAGGACTTACAAAGGCTTACCAGATAGACTGAGATAGTTTTTTTTTATTATTATATTATCATACAACTTGAATATCTGTTTAGATACAATATAATAAATATGCCAGATTTAGTAAATGTTAAATTTTTAATCTATTGCTTATAAAAATAAACAAAAGCATCTGTTATATTAAACACACTTCTTTTAAAAGAAGTTCTTTTTTTTTTTTTTTTGTCTTTTTGAGACAGGGTCTCCCTGTAGCCCCAGCTGGCTTGGAACTCACTATGTAGACCAGGCTGGCCTTGAACTCACAGAGATCCACATGCCTCTGCCTCCCGCCCTAGTGCTGGGATTAAAGGCATGTGCCACCACACCTGGGCCTAGAAGTTCATTTTATTTAGCTTTGTGACACCTAGCTAGATATTTACATAAATACTAGCTTATAGGGCTTTGACATTCAGGCAGTATGAAGGATCTGTCCTATCATCACTTGTCACCTAACAGAAAAAACTCTGGAAGTTTCTATTGGACTGTTTTCTGAAGAGAGAGCTAGTTGAACACTTCAAAATAACAGGAAGACCATAGATTCCACACAACCTGTGACCAGACAGAGGTGTGACCAGACAGAGGTGTGCTTCATGAGTCAATGATTTAGTGATCAGCAAGCACCACCTTACACTCAGTGCTGTTCAAGGAATTCTGAAGAACATTAAGCAGGCATTCTTGTACAGGATGTAAAGCAGATACGCAGAAACCAGTTTGGTGACAATTAGAAGGCAAAAGAGTAATGACCTCATTAATGCCATACAAGCGACTGAACAAAATGCACATTAAACAGTCCAACACTACAAGACACCACAGGTTCCCCTGGAACACTGCAAGTGATCCTTGGAATAACAGAGTTCTAGGCTGGTCCTCCCGTATCCAGCACATGTTTGCTAAGCATGAAACCCACAAGTGAGTGTCCTTAGCATCTGGCCAAGAAGTAATCTCTCATTCCCAGTCACTGAGTGATCTTGTTTACCTGTTCATCCATCTAGGGTAGAAGCCAGTGGCTATTTGTAAACAGGAGAAAAATACAGGGTCCTTCTGCTGCTCTTTGGGAAATATAAAGATTATAACACCTGCAAGAGAAACCTTGGAATCACAACCGTCTCAGCAAAGGATTATTGGCTTTTATTTATTTTTTGTTTGTTTTTGTTTTTTGTTTTTTTGCTCTTTTTGAGACAGGGTCTCCCTGTAGCCCCAGCTGGCCTGAAACTCACTATGTAGACCAGACTGGCCTCGAACTCACACAGCCTGCCTCTGCCTCCCAAGTGCTGGGATTAAAGGCATGTACCACCACACCTGGCATACTGGCTTTTACTTTTAAATGCAAGAATGATCCATGTGCAAGAATGATAAATGACTGTGTGTCTGTGTGTGTTTCTATGTGTGTTGTGGTGTGTGTGTGTGTGTGTGTGTGTGTGTGTGTAGTGTAGTGGTGTGTATGTGTGTGAGAGAGGGAGAGACAGAGAGACAGAGAGACAGAGAGAGAATTTGCCTGAAATTTTACTTAATTTCACCTGAATCCTACTTGGATTTAGAGACATTTCAAAACTATTGTTCCACAAAAGTTTCCTTACACAGTAATTAAGGTCTAAATTAGGACTTAAAAGGCCTTAAAAAGGCGTACAACCTTTATTACCTCACAGTGTTACAGGAGGTTATGCATAGTCTAACTGCTCTTGCACAGAGCTTGGTAAAGATTGGTGTGTACAATCTTAGTTGAATCAAAGTGAAGGATGCAGTTGGACTTCTTTGAAGATCAGTATTACAAAATCTGAGATTGGCTGTAAAATATAAAAATGTATCTATTGTACTCAAACTCCTATTATATGTAAACTAATATATATAATTTGTAATTTTCAAAATATAGATTTATAAAATTATTTAG